TGTGTGTGTGTGTGTGTGTGTGTGTGTGTGTGTGTGTGTGTGTGTGTAGTGGGCTGGTATAACAGCGCCCATCAGGACCCTCTGAAAAGTCATGAGATAGATTACTCTTCAGTAATTCCTTCATCTACAAAGCCTCATTTTGGCAAGAATAATTCCAGTTGCCTGGTATTTGGAAGCTAGCAGTTTAGATCAAACCCTGTGGTCAAGATCTCTGTTCTAGCAAGGCAGTGGTGTTGCATGTCTTTAATCCCAGCACTAGGGAGGCAGAGGCAGGTGAATTTCTGAAGCCAGCCTGGTCTACAAAGTGAGTTCCAGGACAGCCAGGGTTCTACAAAGAAACCCTGTCTCGGAAAACAAACAAACAAACAAACAAACAAACGAAATTTCTGTTTCAGTAGAGGAAGCCAGATATTATAAAAGTTTTTCTTAACAAAGAATGATCCTATCTGAAGTGAAAAGTGTCAAAGTTCTAAGAGGAACGGGGTGGTGGGTGTGGAGAAGGATGTTTCACCAGCCAGGTTCTCCGGGAAAGCCTGTGTCGGCCTGGGACTCGCTCAGATGGGGGCATTCACAGGGAAACCCAGGGAAGATCCTGTAGACTGGAAGATGTAATCAGGAAAGATATAATCAACCAGATGATATAACCAGGTGGGAATGAAGTCCGTGTGCCCAGAGCACTCGAGGAAAGTCACCTCAACTGTCATGGAGAGATAATGGTAGGGAAGAAGATGAAGCAGGGCCGCAGATCACCCAGAGCTTTTGAAGCAAGATTTAGACTGTAGTGAGAAGTCTGGGCAGAAAAGTGACAGCTATGATTTATGGTGGCTTATGTCAACTAATTGCAGACTTGCAAGAGGGAGGCAAGGGGGTGGGGGGTGGAGTGGACTGTTGAGGTTGATAGCAGCCATACAGATGAGAGTTAAGCTATCAGGAGTGAGTGTGGAAGTGGAAAGGTAGGGGGAAGGGCTGTGAGGATAGACTCCGTGAGACTTAGGACTGTCTGGCTGAAGGCTGTGGGAGGGAGCAACAGTGTCCCAAGCCTGAGCTGGAGCTGCTCATTTTCAAATGACCTCATCACCGTGCCAACCCACACGCTGAGGCGATGTTTCTGATGACCTTGAAAGACTAGGGGACTTGTTCTAAGAAAGCAGATACCCATCCACTCTGCTCTGGGGCTAGACTGGCCTGTCAGTTCACCTTTCTGCTCCTCCCTCTTTTCTCCCTAGGCTTTTCATTGGCAAGAATTAAATCCTGACTTGCTCTACCAGCTGCCCTTTCTCTTTCAATAGGATGACGATAAAGCTTGGCACATGCTAGTTTCTAAGTAGCCCAAAAGGTTTATTTTGGAAAACACTGCTCAGTCATGTATCCCATGGGAAAATAAGAGACATTAAACAAGTCAAATCTTCAAATGTTCAATACTGAGTGAATTTTTTAAAAACTCAAAATTATCACCGGCATTTGGCCTCTTGGTTCCTTTTCCCCTAGCTTTCCATGCCCAACCCTGTGCTGAGGATCAAACCCAGGATTTTAGAGTGCCAGGCAAATGCCCCACTAGTGAACCACATCCGCAGCCTGGCGACCAGAATATGTTGCCAATACGTTTAATTTGCAATTGCCAAACTCTTGGCCCTCTGTAGGCCCTATAGACATGGCCTTAAGTTTCTTGAATGGCTAATTCATTAATTGATTAGGGGTAGAGATGTGACTCAAAGCAGTTGCTGCTCTTGCAGAGGACTCTGGTTTGAATCTCAGCACCCACATAGTGGCTCATAGCTGTAATTCTAGTGTCAGGGAATCTAGTACTCTCCTCTGACCAATGTGGGTACTAAGCATGCAGGTAGAGCATGTACATTCATGCATAATCATATAATAAGAATAAACTTTTTGAAAAATAATAAAAAAAATTCAGTGTTTTGTTGTAGATGTCAAGTGATTATCTGCTTTAGGCTTGTGTTTTACTCAGAGTGATATATACAATATACATAGATATTTATGTATATAGTGTGTATACATATGGAATTATATATACATACATATACATACACACACACACACACACACGTGTGTGTGTGTGTGTGTGTGTGTGTGTGTGTGTGTGTGTGTATTGAAGGGCCGGAGAGCTATATGATCCCATGGGGCTGTCCCCCTGGGTCAAAACTTAGTAACCTGACATTGTGTTGTATGTTTTAATAAGAGTGTTTTGTGTTTTGCACATCACTTGAATAACAAGCATTTTCTGTTTTTCTTCTTTGGCGTCTTTCAGTTTCCCTTTCAGGACAATCTCTTTCAATCCATGTACTACCCCCTGCAGCTGAAGTTCCTGGAGACGGTGCACACCCTGTGTGGACGGATCCCCCAGGTTTTTCTCAAACAGATCGAGAAAACGATGAGAAGGGCTTACGAGAAGCACGTCATCATCCACATGGGCCCCAACTCCATGAGCTGAGTGTCCTCTTGCCCTAAGTCAGCCTGGGGTCTGCCAGCAAGGGCACGGATCCTTACGCTGCCTGGACATTTGTGTGTGTGTGTGAATATTTAATGGTGCTCTGTGACTGTCGAGGTTATATGTTGCTGAGTTAGTTATTCCTGAAAGAGAATGAGCTTTCCTTTATTTTCTTCTGAAATCCTATTTATCTTTAAAAAAGAGTTTTTATCATGAACTTAATATTGTTCCAGTGGGTTGAGAGAGGAAAGGAGACTTTTTCTAGCCTTCAAATATGAGACCCTGTTGCTGTATGCAGGTATCATAATTATCTGGTGTTCTTGAGACTCTCCCTATTCAACTTGCTCTCTCACACCCTGTTAAAAACTAATACCTGTTGGGGCTGGCAAGATGGCTCAGCTGATAAAAACATCTGCCACCAAGCCTGCTGGCCTGCGTACAGTTCCCTAGGTGGAAGATGAGAATTAATTCTACCAAGTTATCCCCTGACCTCCATGTGTGCCCACACTCACATCCACGAATAAAAAAATGTAATGTAATATTAAGAACTAATAATAATAGAGGCTGATTCGACGGCTCAGTAGTTGAGAGCACTGACCGCTCTTCCAGAGGACCTGGGCTTCATCTCCAGCACCTACGTAATGGTTCAAAACCAGCTGTAACTCCAGGTCCAGGGATCCAGTGCTCTCCTCTGTCCATCACAGCCATGAGGCACGTAAGTAGTGTGCACAGACACACACACAGGCAAAATACCTTACACAGAAAAAAAAAATTATAAACTTTTTAGAAATTAAAAAATAACAATATATGTTATGAGACAGGCAAACTCGGGGAGAGTATAGGTCAGTGAACCACAATCGAGGTTAGATTGGACATATTCCTACCAACCACTTGAAAAGGTTGTGCCCATTTTAATGCATTTCCTTCCAGACTCCTTAAAACCCCCACTGACTTCTGCATTTCCCACTGTAACACGTTTCAAATGTGCAACCTCAGTAAAGACCAGCCTCTATGCTGAGCTTTCATAGAGGAGACTAAAAAGTCAGACGAGATAATTACAGGCACTGCCGTGTCGGAGAGAGGCTTTCAGACCAGCTAATTGGGCTGCGTTTCAAGATGAAGCATGTGTCTGAGAGTACATCTCAGAAGGATTGCTGAGCTCCGTGGAGGGCTCAATCATGAGAAATCTCTATGCAACAAAAGCTTCTGAAAGAAAGCCCAAGGGATCTCTTTAGCAAAGAAGTATGAGTTTCTCCACAGACAAAAGCACTTGACTAGACTCCTGGGCAGCGGGCAGAAATCAAAGGACAATTCAGATGTTTGTTTGGTTTTCGTTGTTTTAATTGTATTTTTAACTATGTTTGTGTGTCTGTGTCTGTCTGTGTCTGTGTTTGTGTACGGGCATGTGAGTGCAGGTGCTGATGGAGACCAGAAGATGAAGGAGTTAATCCTCTTGGGCTTGAGTTACAAGTGAGGCCCCTGACTTAGGCGCTGGCCACTGAGCTTGGATTCCCTGCAAGAGCAGCAAGTGCTCTTAACGACTGAGCCCTTTTGTTTTGTTTTACATTTTTAAGACAGGGTTTTACAACCTGCCTGCCTCCACTTCCAAGTCAGCCCTGGATTTGCAGGTGTGTGCCACCACACCCAGCTCCAGTTTCAGATTTAATTTGCTCAAAGTAAATATTTTTGATAATTTCATTGGCAAGAAAATGCAATTCCTAGCAGCCTCAGATCTCTGTTTTTCTTTTCTTTTTCACTGTGCTTAGCCAGCTCTTAGCTTAGAGGCTTTACAATCCTAGCACCTAGCTATAGGAGAGGAAGCTCTTATCTTGCCCCCAAGAGGGATCAGACTTAATCCCTAGTTGCTCTCAAGGTTGGCTGTCAGCGCAGGGACATTTTGCATAATGCTTTATTTATCTCAAATGACTTTTGCATAAGTGACATTTTTGATGTTTCCTGCAGCCTAGAGAAGTAGGAGGGGAAATGTCTCATCCTGAGGAGGTGGTAGGAAGCCTCAGCACTACAACGGAGCACCGGGGTAGCAGTTGGTGTGTGGCACAGTTATTGTCGCCACAGATGTAAAACTGAAATGCCACGGCCATTCTCCCCTTGTGCCTACCACCTGCTGTTGTTAGGGGAATCACCCTGTGATGCGCTACTCTCGTTCTTTTTACTACCGTTTCCTGTTCTCACTAGCAGACAGGACATCTTATTTTGGGTCTTTCTGGCTGTGGGCGGGGAAGTGGGGTAAATAACAACAAACTGGGTTTTTAGTGATGGAGCCAGAATGTACAGGGTTTCTCTGTGTAACAAACCCTGACTATCCTGGACTAGTTTAGTAGACCAGGCTGGCCTCCAACTCACAGAGATCCACCTGCCTCTGCCTCCCCAGGGCTGGGATTAAAGGCATGTGCCACCACCCAGCAATTATTTTCTATGCTAAGATATTAGGATGAGGCAGGGTTTTCCCCGCCCTTGGTATTTCCAGGCAAACACCTTTGAAATCTGAGAGCCACATGCATTCATTCAATGAACTTCTAAAACATGTGATCTGCAGTAGGAACTTGCCGGCTGCCTTTCAGCAACTTAGGTGGCACTGAATCTATACCAGGAAGGGCGAAGGCTTCTTCTCTCATCTTCTCCTGTTCTGCCCTTTTTTTTTTTTTTTCCCTCTCCTCCTCTCTTGCCTCTTGTCTTAATTGTGTTTCTATTGCTGTGAAGAGACGCCCTGACCTAGGCAACTCTAGTAAAAGAAAGCATTTAATTGAGGGCTTGTTTACAGTGGCTCACTCCAAGGAGGACAGGCCTCCATCAGCTAGGGGCTAAGCATGCAAATATATGAGCCTATGGGGGACATTCTGATTGAGACCACCACCCCACCCCTCTCCTGCCTCCTCTCTCTTCTCATTTAAAATAATAATAACTTGCTTCACAGATGTAGCTGTGGAGTTCTGTGTAGAGTGTCAGAGCACTCTCTAATAGCGGTGACCATGCTTTTGCCTGCATCAGAAGCGAGGCTACACTGGGAGGATTTGTAGAAAGCCTTGACATTACCTCTTGCTGTTTATTTCCAATGTAAATCTGAGAAATTATGACTTCCATGAAAATTCTAATACTTGAACGTGGCCCATCTACAGAATCAACTTGAGTGTCTCCTTGACTTTGACATTTTAGCATTGGGGCACACGCTCTGAACTTCAGTTTTTTTGTAACATTTGGAGTTCATGCTCAGTGCTGTGCCTCTTGTGAGCCCTCTGTACTTTTCACTGTCTGTCTCTGAAATGAGCATTTGCTCACTTCCGGAGTCAGTATCTCAGATTGAATTTGTAGTGTCCATAAGCAAAAGTTAAAAAAAAAAAAAAAAAAAGAAAGAATAATCAAATTACAATTCACAGCCACAGCTCTGGGCATCACGGCTCACATCTGCAATCCCAGAATTTAGGAAGACACTGCCAGTTAGGGCCAGCCTGGACCTCCTGGTGAGTACCAGGTGATCCAGGCCTTAAAAAAAAAAAGGTGAAGGGGAGGCTGGGGTGACGGATCAGTGGTTATGAGCACTGACTGCTGCTCTTTCCAAGGGATCAGGGTTTAATTCCTAACACCTACATGGTGGTTTACAACCATCTATAACTCCAGTTCCAGAGGAATCTAATGCGCTCCTGTGGCTTCTTAGGATAAAAGGCCTGCACGTGACGCACAGACACACGTGCAAACAAAATGCCCGTACCTATAATTTTAAAAATTTAAAAACATTCAAGCATGACACATGCCTTTAATCCCAGCACTTGGGAGACAGAGGCAAGTGGATCTCTTAAGTTGGAGGCCAGCCGGGGTTACAGAGTGAGTTCCAGGCCAGGGAGGGCTACATAGTGAGACCCTTTCTCAAAAACAAACACACGCACACCTGTCTGAGAAAAAACGAAAAGTTACCGTGATTGATCATAAAATAGTGACTCCGAATGTTAAAAATCACTATAGCCTGCCCTGCAGACAGGACACCAGCCACATAACTGTAAAATTATAGGAAATACATTTGACATTTACTCAAAGGATAAATGCCGTATGCTCAGTGAACTCAAATGGATATCGTTTCTTGATCACATTCAGAAACTCACTGAGTGTAATAGTGTCATTTAAGAGAGTGGCAGGCAACTCTTCTGCTGTTGTTTCCTGCTGCATTTTCATATTTTTTTGTTTTTGCCTTCTCCATTCTGCCTGTGATAGAAACTTGTGGGTAGCACAGGAACCTGGGCTTTAGTGACCCAGGTGACAGAACTTGGGGACCCCCGTGTAGCTAGAAGGGAGCTCTAACTAGACCTTAGAGCCAATCTTTCATGGTGGGACTGTTTCAGACATTTTAAAAGGCTAACACCTGCACACACTCATCCACCCACGTCATATGCCTTTCAAAAGAGACGCCAACTTTTACTGTACCTGTGAGTTGAAGAATTACACATGGTTAACCCTTAGGTCATTCATTTCACAATAACCCTTGCTGGCATTTACCTCTGACAAGATTTCTCCAGCAAAAGAGAAAGTGCTTTGTTCTAGTTTTTGTTTTTCACAGGTCAAAACTGGAAACATCCTCTTGAATCCCCAATATAAAACTTTTGTGTGTGTCACCATGTATGTGGGCACATGAGAACCAGGCGCAGTGCTTGCTTCACTGGGCTGACGTTTGCATTGTCATTGAAAAAGCATGTCCATTGTTTGGAGCTCCTAAGAGTCCCTGCATGTGGGGTGGGACATCGTTGTTGTTTTTTTATCAGAAAACATTGATGTTTTTGTTGCTGTGATTTTGTTTGCAAAGAAATGCATTAAAAAACAATAACCCAAAGAAAAGGAATTATTACAGAGCATAAACTGGGAGGCAAGTACCAAGATGAAATGATTGTCTCATCTTTTTAAATGTCACCTCCTGTTTTACCTTTTTTTTAAACTTAAAAGCTTTAAATATGTGTTATTTGTATTACTTTTGAATTATGTATGTGTGTATGTATGTT